CCTCCTCGTCCTCCTGCATTTCCTCCTCCTCCTCCTCCTCCTCCTCCTCCTCCTTCTCCTCCTCCTCCTTCTCATCCTCCTCTTCCTATTCATACTCCTTCTCACCACTCCCTTATCCATCCATCCAGCCTCTTCCTTCTCCTCCTCCCTCCTTCGCACAGTTCGGCAGTCCCCCTCTTTGCTCCCGCACTTCCCTGATCACCTCAACTCGCCTGGACATCGTTTCTGGATGGGCTGGTGGGGATACGCGAAGCGACTAGAACTTTTGTTCAGGCCTAATTCGGGGGGCCCGAATTTTTTGTTCGTCGGCGGCGAGGCAGAGGCAGTCCGCTCCGGCGTGTGGCTATACGGGACAACCGAAAGGCGAATTGTCCGGCGTGCAAGAGGGAGGAAACAGGACGAGCGGGGGCCCCAGGACAGGCCAAGAGCGCCCCAAGGGGCCGCCCACCAGACGGTCCAAGGCCGCCCCGAGCCGCCGCACGATTGGTCCGAGACGCCCAAAATGGCCCCAAGACGGCCCAAGAAGCCTTCGAGGCGCCCCGAGAGAGCCCCAAGAGCCTTCCTAAGAGGGCCCCGAGAGGACAAAATCTTTAAGAGGGCTCCAAGATAGCCCAGGAGGGCCCAAAGACAGCCCCAAGAAGGACCAACGAGGGGGAACACGAACCGACAGTGCGAGTCTTCCGCCCCAAGAGGCCTCCAGGAGGCCCCAAGAGGCTCCCAAGAGGCCCCAAGAGACCCTAAGAGGCCTCCAAGAGGCGCCCAAGACGCCCTAAGAGGCCCCAAAACGGCCCCAAAGAGGCCTCAAAACGGCCCCATGAGGCCACGGCGAGGCCTCCCGCGACATGCCAACGAACATCCGAGAGTCATCTGACCCACAACTCAGGCACGGTGGCGGGATGAGCCTAAGACAATTAGATCCGCCGCCCTCTGTTGGCTTGCCACAGGTGTGCCCGGCGTGCTGAAATCCTATCGCTCTTGTTTTAGGTTCTTTTTCCATAAGAACTCTCCCCTGGGCCTTCGGCCCGTCCCGCCGGCCATCCGGAAGGCCGCACAAAGGACCACAAAGGCACCACAAAGGACCTCAACGTCCAGAAAAAATCCTCCAAGACGGCTCAAGATGGCCTCCAAGACAGCCTACATGGCCCAAGATGGCCTCCAAGTTCGCCCGAGATGGTCCAAGATGGCCTCCAAGACGGCCCAAGAGGGTTCAAGATGCCTCCAATTCCGCCCAAGAAGCCTCCACAACGGTCCAAGAAGGCTAAAGAGGCCCCCAATAGACCTCCAAGACAGCCCAAGAGGCCTCCGAGAGGACCTCCACGAAGGCCTGAAGAGGTCAAAATCATTTATTTCCCTTGGATTTCTGGAAGGATTATGGCATTTGCATAGTTTCGGCCTTCCGACGCGACGGCCCGAGACGGCCCAAGAGCCCCCAAAGATCGCCCCACGATCGCCCAAGAGGCCTCCAAGATGGCCCCAAAACGGCCCGTCGGCCCAGAGGGACCCCAAGACGGCTTCCGACGGCGTCAGACGGGCCAGGAGCCCACCAAGACAGCCCAAAATGGCTCTAAGATGGCCCAAGACGGCCTACGAGGCCCCCAAGAGGTCTCCAAGACGGCCCTCCAAGAAGACATCCAGAAGGCCCGAGGAGGCCAAAATCATTGATTTTCCCGTAGTGTTTGAAAGATGTTGGCATTTGCTTCTCTTCGGCCTTCCGACGGCCCGAGATGGCGCCCCCACAGGGCCCTAAGACGGCCCAAGAGGCCTCCAAGACGCCCAAGATGACCTCCAAGACGGCCCTGGAGCACCCCAAGAGGGTTCCAAGTCGGCCCAGAGAGGCCCCCAAGACCTCCTCCGACGGCGTCAGACGGGCCCCGAGAAGACCCCGAAGGCCCCCAAGAGGCCCAAGGAGGCCCCCAAGATGCCTCCAGGAGGCTCCCAGGAAGCTCCCAGGAGGCCCGAAGAGTGCCCCCAGAAGCTACCAGTATGCCTCCTCCTCCTCCTCCTCCTCCTCCTCCTCCTCCTCCTCCTCCTCTTCCTCCTCCTAGTCCCCTTCCTCCTCCTCCTCCTCCTCCTCCTGATCTTCCCCGCCATCCTCCCCCAAGTGTTCCCCGAAGGGTTTCCACAACGGTTGGGGGAACACATGGTCGGATAGCTTGGCAAAGTTTTTGCCACAACGCTCGGCCACATGGGCGATGTTAAAAGGCAGGGGGCGGCGGTGACTAGCCGTAGGCGTTTTCGATCGTATGAGCAGGTTTAGCTCCCTAAGCCGCTTGTCTGTAAGGGTTCTGAATAAGTGGGCCGCCAAGTTCGGAATCGGTGGGGCTGCCTTCAGGGGCCTCCTGTGGCCTCCAGCGGCATCCCTTTGGGAATCGGTGGGGCGAAATGGCCGCCCGTGGCCTCCCGTCGCCTCCCGCTGTATGGCATCAGTGCCAAAATCGTTGGCAGTGTTTGGCATTCGCTATGGATTGGCAGTAGGATGTTTCGCAGCATGCAGCACGAG